CACAAAATACAGAAAAGTTTAAATAATACATCTCAGTTAAAAGCTTTAGGTGTTTATTTAAAAGAACAAAAAAGAGAGTCAGCACACAACATTACCATAAAACAAGGCAGTTTTTCTATAATTAAACAATCTCAGTTGTTTAAATACAGATGAACAGCTAAACTCTATCAATACCTTTTTATTTTTACTGTTATATTTTGACAGACTGTCTTCAATTTTGACTAATATAAAAATTACCATCTAGTGAATTTTGTACAAATCAATTCCCTCTACTTCCTTAACCAGTGTCACCATGCATCCATGATCTTTAGTACAAATGCACCAATCATAGACCTAACTGTATAGTGCATGACAGCAACAATGTAACATTTTCAATATTTAGATTCCTTTTGCTTAATGACCTGAAAGAGGAATACATACCATAAAACATAGAATTAAAATACAAGCAAATTCAAGTTTTGCTTTTTGGAATATTCTGGATTTTTCCAAAATATTTTCAGTCTGGATACAGAGGGCTAATGGTATAAAAAAATTATTCAATAATTTTAGACTATAAATTTAAGTACAAAAGTACTGTATATAAGTGAGGTACAAATGCAAGCAAAGTTTTAAATGTTTGTATCCAATGAATATTTGAAATAACACCTGCACTTTTGCCTCACTAACTATGAAACTTTTTTAGGTATGTTATTGCAAGATATAGTGTATCATGCATCAAACATACAATAAACAGTTATAGAAAAAAAATTATTTGTATAATTTGTATAGACACACCTATCATAGAGCTAACTAAATAATTCATAACAGCAATAATATAACACATCATCATTGAAAAAAATTAATTCTTAATAAATAAAGAAATTTCAATTTTCTAGAACTTATTGCATTATGTATGATATAGATGTTAGATTGTAAAAAAGTTTTCTGTATCTGGAATAGATCACAGTGTCTAAAAGTTTGGTGAAAAGTATAAATCTAGAAATAAAAATTTAAAATTAAATAATTCTCATAATTTTATAAATTTATTAAAGTGTATGTAGTGCCCAATATCACCAGCATTGCATCACTAGAGTTCAAATTGAGAATGAAAAGTTTTCAAACAGAATTTAAACAGGGGGAAAAATTTGGCTCTTCAATTTATATGAGAATTGTTTTGCATTGCAGTTATTGATAAAGAGTGTTCTAGAATTACAAAGTTTATTCTATGAAATTATAGAATATTTTATAGTTACATGTATTCTGGCCAGAAATAAATATACCATATATACATTACAGTGTATTTATAAAAACTTACTTCTGTTATCCATATTAATTTTTTTCAGCACATTGTGACAAATAGGATTTACAGCCTTATGACAGAGTCGTTGAACATTGGAAAAAGTATCATCACTATTTAACGTTGTCAAATCAATACATGTGACTGCTTTTAGTAGCCACGCAATCTATTTTATAAAGTAAAACAATAACTTTTAAGAATACAATAATATTGCAATAAAATATGTGTATTGTTTAAATATAAATACTTTTAATTTATGAAAAAAGAATGACCATATGGCTGAAGCAATAAATGTATCACACTGTTATTTTTAGGAATCTGGTTCAAATCTGGATCAAAACTATAGTCTTCAAAACTTTTCATGGAAAGTTTTATTTGAATGTTTTGGACTAATTCCCTCATTACCCAGATTTCTCCTTTTTTTGTCTCTATAGCTTATTATTAATATGATAAAAATCATCCTTTTAAGGATCAAAAAAGTAAAAAATTATAATAGAATATTAACTTTACTTCAAAATTACCTACTTTAATAATTGAATTAATTTTTAACATTGCATATTAATTCTACAGTATAAAGCAATTTTAGTAATCATACAATTTAGTAATTATATAATGCGTAATTTTACAGTTATAAAATTTATTGTGGAAGTTGAAATTACTTTGATAATATGCATCATACATAAATACGGATATCAGATAAATACGGATATCAGTAAATACTAGATTTCAGTGAAATCTAGTATTTACTGAGACATAAAACTGTTTTAATTTCCATTTGGTCAGGATAATTTAAACACTAATTATATAATTTTTGTCTTTGCATTTTTTGATAAATAACATTCATCACAAGCTAGACAGGTTTAATAAATGAGATTGATCAGCATTGGGGTCAATCTGTGTAAATATTGAGGGAATGGGCCAATAACAATGGGTAAGAAAAATTTCTCATTGTTGGGTTTTGAATAGAATTACAAAATAAGATGTATTTGTTGTGTACAGTACTTGTTTCTACTTTTAATTTTTGCAGTATGCTATCTAGTATCTATCTATATAAAATAAAAATACATTGGGGAAAACTGGCTGGTATAAAAATATTAGGGGGATATGTCCCCTCTGTCCTGTATGGATCAATGCCCATGTTGATCAACATAAGTGAAAAATAATAATTTGGGTCAGGTATTAATTTCCTTAAGATAAACTGTAAATAACTGGAACATAGATTCCTCACAACTGTATGATGTCATATTGTATAGCATTCATATACATTTTATTAAATGTTTTTAACCATTATTTTTAATTTAAAGCTCTTTGCTAATGTAAAATAAAATGTTTAAAAATTTACATTTATGAGATAATGAAGCAATATTAATACAATGTAATCAAATCATAAGTATATTTCATCAAGCATCACAAAATACAGAAAAGTTTAAATAATACATCTCAGTTAAAAGCTTTAGGTGTTTATTTAAAAGAACAAAAAAGAGAGTCAGCACACAACATTACCATAAAACAAGGCAGTTTTTCTATAATTAAACAATCTCAGTTGTTTAAATACAGATGAACAGCTAATCTATCCAATTCAGCAAACACATGGTTAATTAATTCAAAATAATTATTGCAAAACTAAATTATTTTATATTTTCAATTTTATAAGATGTTATATTACTGTTTCTTAAATTATCTGATCCATCAGCAGTTTTTTTCAATACACAAGTAATTGGTGCCATAATATCTATTTTTATAGTGCATAGCTTAAATAAATGAAACAATAATACAGTATGAAAAAAAAGATTTGTGAATAGAAAAGCTGATAGGAGCATCATAATGAAGTAAAGAATCCTGAGAAATGAATATAGCCCACACATGCTCATCTTATATGAAAGATTTTTCTAAAAACTCACTACAGAGTAGCAATGGACCTAGACTGAAGTTATACAAAATAACATTAGATAATAAATAATTATTTAAAATTTCAATTAAATCATAATAATAAAATTTGTTTCCATTATACACATTTTCATTATTTTATTTATACAAAAATTTATAACAAAGCAAACAAATCAAACACCACTTACTTCATAATTCTTTTTAACAGTTCTTCTTGTAGAAAGTGCATGCGCTTGTTGCTTTATTGCCAAATGATTAATAGGTTTAGTAGCTAAACCGATATCTACAATATTTTTTATAAAAAAATTATATTAGACTTTTTCAATTTTAAATAAACATAACATTATATTTTGACATTTTTAACTTTAATATTTTTATGAAATAGAATGATAATATTAAAAAGATTTTAAATTAGCCAAAGTCTTGATACATATTATTCATCACCAAACTATTATTAAAATATTTTAAATTACATTTTCAGAATTTGTTATGGTGATTATTATTACAGTAATATTTAAAGAAAAATTCCATTCAGAATGACTAATTATAAGTAACTGAATTTAATAAAATATTACTGTTAGTTCTGATTACTGAAGAAATTTATAAATGTAATTTTAAGTGTTTATTTAAAAGAACAAAAAAGAGAGTCAGCACACAACATTACATAAAACAAGGCAGTTTTTCTATAATTAAACAATCTCAGTTGTTTAAATACAGATGAACTGCTAATCTATCCAATTCAATACACATTCAATTCTTTAATTTGAAAAATTTTCATTTAAAATAATGAAATTCTGTTCTTGAAGTTAAGAGTATTTACAAAAATATATTAACATTTTCGAGTCTATCATTAAATCCTTTTACACAAACCACAGAAGACACAGTTACATTGGTTAGAAGATAAAACTTCTTTAAAAGACAAATAATAAAAGGTAAAAATTCACAATTAAAAATGATCAAACGCCAGCCTTTTATTGTAGGATCTGACGTTTTTAACATTAAAAACATAAGANTTTTTGTAAATAGTCTAACTTCAAGAATTAAAATATTGAAGAATATCCTGAGTTAACATTGAACATTGTGAACTTATGCAAATGAAAATGATAGACTCGTAACTACCACTAGAGGGATGAACCAGTTATAAAATTTGGAAAAGGACTTGATAGTTGGTGAGAAGATTCTTAAGTTTTTAATGTTAAAAACGTCAGATCCTACAATAAAAGGCTGGCGTTTGATCATTTTTAATTGTGAATTTTTACCTTTTATTATTTGTCTTTTAAAGAAGTTTTATCTTCTAACCAATGTAACTGTGTCTTCTGTGGTTTGTGTAAAAGGATTTAATGATAGACTCGAAAATGTTAATATATTTTTGTAAATAGTCTAACTTCAAGAATTAAAATATTGAAGAATGTCCTGAGTCAACATTGAACGTAATGAAATTCTGTTTGTGTATTGAAATCTATTGCTATTAAAATTACACTCTCAATTATACTTGAGTTTATTTATTAAAAATAATATTTCAATGAAGTGGGAATCTACTATTTTAAAAACAAACAAGTTTTTTTAGTTAAAATTATCTGTGCAATCCATATTAAAACAATCTGTTTAAAAGAAAATGCATTTGGAATGTTCCTCCAAAGTTTTTAGAATATTCCTCTTCAGTTTCTCCAGGATATTTTTTAATACATTCGAACATTAGAAATGCATTTTTCTTTAACTGGATTGTTTTAACATGGACTACATGGATAATTTTAACTAGGAAAACTTGTTTGTTTTTAAATAGAAGATTCCTGCATCATTGACAGAATTTTATAAATAAACTCAAATATAATTGAGAGTGTAATTTTAATTATAATTAAGAAAATTGTTGCAACAAAGAGTAGAATCTATTGCTATTGTTTCTGAACAGCACAGAGATTTGTCTCTCTAAATATATAGGTTGTTTGGGTCTCTCATCAGTCCTCATATAATCTTTGTTTTATAGCTGACAATCAAAATTATCAGACTATCATTTCTTCCCTTTTGGTCTATTATATCACAAATTGATAGTACATAATTCTTTAAAAATTTCTTTTTCTCAGTTAATAATTAATTAAGCAATTAAGAAAAAGAATTTATTATGTAAATACTTAATTACTTATATAATTCAATACCCATTAATAAATTTATTACTTTCTATTAAAATTATTTACAGTTCTCTTACCAAATTCAATTCCAGTATTTTTTCCTCCCATGTCTGTATTCAAAATATATTATCTGAAGTTTAAAAATAAATACATTATAGTATTTTTATTAAATATAATATTAAACTTATATATAATTTATAGATAATAGCTTTTTTTTTAATAATGATTCTGTATAGTATAACTAAAGAAGCAAACTCCTCCTCCCTCCTTTTCAGCACTCTTAGTCCCACTATCCCTGGGGTCAGTTTTTTTTTTTTAATTTGGCTTCATTTTACAGCTAGAAGTTCTTCCTGTTACCAACTCTCCCTCTTTTAATCCAGACTTGGGACTTAACTGAGTCACCAGATTGTGGGTGGGGTCAAAACAGCAACACCTGTTAGAAGTTATCAGTGTGTTTGCTCCCTTTCATTCTTGACATAAATTTTAATTTTTCCATGTTCTTCTGATCATCATCTTCCATGTTAATAGTTAGCCATCATTAAAGTAGTCCCAAAAGCTGTTTTTAGGTCTTTGACTATTATAAGAACATAATTTTTGTCCAAAGATAACTATTACATGTTGATTCTAGACTTTGAGAGGAATTGTTCATCGAGTATGTTCAATAGTGGATCCAGAAATATTTAGAGATTGGTGCAAGAAAGAAAAAATATACCTTATAAAATTTTTACTACCCAAATTACCCAGCTTTACTTGAAAAAACCCCCCCAGAAGAGCAAATTTACAGGATGTGTAGTGTATAGGGGACATATTTGAGGATGGAATTAGGGAGGGAGTGGTAGAATGCAGCTGTGCTCTATGCAGTCCCCATAAATCTCCCTTGATTAAATCACATTCTCTAATTGAGAAATCCAAGACAATCTCATAGAAACTTTTTGTCACTATCAAAAACTGAGTTTAGTAGAAGTTACTTTTAGATAATTTGTGTATTATTCTAATATAGAAAAATGATCTAAAGCTAACTTCTACTGAAAACATTTACATGGATGGTTATAATCTATGTAATATTCCAAGTTTTATATAATGCATAATAAAATGCGAGAAAAAAATGTAATCTTTCTCAATAAAAACACAAAATATATTAAAGGAAATTGCTTTTAGCCCTTGATTTAAACAAATTGATTAAAAACCTACTACTGTGATTCCTACCTCACAGTAGTAGGTTTTTAAACAAAATATATTATTAAATTTAAATAATAATCAAATAAAATAAAATTAATATATATTTACATATGTTTTTTTAATTAAATAAATTCCTATTCAAAATTCAGTCACGTGCTTCTATTTTAAAAAATTAATCTATTTCTTATCAATTTTCTGATTTATCAAAGACGTCATCATTTATTCAAAATACGTATTTTCCATTTACTTTTACCACATTTAAAGTTTAAAAAAAGTAATAATCATTATTATTAATTCATTTTATAATTGCAAAATTTAAAAAGAATTAATAATAAAATATTGACAAAAGCTGTAGGAATAATTAATAATTTACTCGATAGATGGCATACATAAAGCCGACTAAATACGTACTCTACGACTAAACATCGTTAAATTATTGATTTATTATGAAAAACGCACTCGTTAATTAATAATTAATTTGGTTTTAAAAAATGCATTCTAAAAATAATATAAAAACAAAAACGTTTTAGTTTTCATATGAAATTATGCCATTGAAATTTTTCACTCATACATTCAAAGTATTTTATATGCAGGAAAATACGAATGCTGTAATCATGTTGCCATCTTAATTCTCATTAAAATAAACTTTTGGCAATTCTAGTTATTCTAAACGGTAATAAACATCAATTTCATTCTTATAATCGGACATGACACCATTATCCAAAATAGCAATGAAGGCAAACTTGTATTTGTATTTTTTTTTAAATTATAAAATGCTTACAAACAAGCAGGATAAAAATTCAGGGTTTTCATCGTAAAAACGCTAAAGACAGAAATGAGAACTATCTTGCCATGTGGAACCCAAGCCCTGTCTTACAGAATTGTTGCAAGATGAACGGAATGTTTTTTATATGGCCGTGATAATACATTTGGAAGGTCAGTGGAAAAAAAACTAAATTGCTCTTCTGGAATAAAATGGCTGTATCCAGCTCTGGAGCAATTGACTAATTTTTAGCTAAATGCACTCTACAGGATCACTACTTCAGGATATATCGAATGTACTAACGTCCTATTTAATAGAGGACTTCATTTATGCTATCTTGGATTTTTGTAACTAAGGTCCGAAATTTTATGCATTTCAGTGGTGTGCCGTGACATTTGATGATAGGGAAGCTGTGTTTGTGTAAGAAGCCGACATCCAGGAACAATCAGTCAATTGCGCGTCAGTGATGGTCTAGGGTCCATTCGTATCATTTATTCGATAAGCTAGTAAAAACCGTAGACTTCTCTAAATGCATTTTTAATATCACAATTACATTCCAAATTGCTAACCACGATATAGAGCTAAGAACCACAATTAAAAATAAAATAATAAAAACTTGGTGAAATAAAATGTGTGGTGGATGTACCGGTACATACCTGGTACAAAATATTCTTCAATTGTATGAATATAGTTTTAAAGAAAATTATAATTAAATAAAGCTTTGTAAAGAAACGTACATAAAAATATAAAATATATTGTTTACTTTTTAAATCTTAACAATGCACTTAGTCAAATAGCTCCCTACGAGTGGCTAATGGACGGAATCGAAGACGGTTGCAAAGTGTGAATACACGCGAACTGCCAAATCCCCAGGGTGCCAATACCGGTCAATGTTAAATGCCTCTTTTGTCGCATCACTAGTATGTCTCAAAGGACGCGACAGGGCTGTTATAGATTTTAAACGTTTCTCACCATAGCTGTAAAAATCTAAATATGTTAAACCTAATAGATTGTCCGTCGTTTGTTTCCTAACTAATTCGTTTTAGGACCAGGGTCCACGGAAATTTCCAAAATTTACAACTTTTCGGTCACTCTCGTCGAACTGGAAAAATGTCTGTATTTATTACATTTAATATTTCGAAGAAATCAGTACTCGGCTCGCTTCGGCACTGTATGGGTTCGGTTAAGCTTTTGTTTAAGTAAAATTTCGGCTCTTTTGTCAGGGTTTAATGTGTCCCCCCAATTCCCTAATTGCTTAATTATTTAACTACTTCTTAAGTAGAAATAAGTCGAAACCGGTTACTTTGTACTCGAATATTTGTAGTCTCGAGAAAAAAGTGGAAAGACAAATTTTTTATGACGAACAGATACATAAATCGTAAATGTAAGGAAAATAAATTCTAGAGCTATTTCCGTACCTCGTGCATCTCTCTCATTCATTAAATTTAGTTGTAAATTATGCTACCAAAGTAACAGTTAATTTTTTAACATTATACAAGAATTGTACACGTTTTTTTCTACATCCCCTTAAAGATGGGACATACGAAATCGTAATATCACTGGTTTAACATTGAAATTTGTGAGTAATATAAGATTGGAGAGCAGAATAAAAATATCAAATATTTTAATGGATTTTTAAAGCTCCTGTCAACTATACAGAACTATCGTAAAAACATACCAGTAAATTCTTATCGGTTGGGTTAAGTTATAAATCTACTC